ACTCAGCATACCATAAGCTAGGAGTGTGCTGAGAAATAAGTGGAGAGGTAAGCAAGGTCCAGATCATGAAGGGTTTTATAGGGCAAATTTAGATTTTTACCTTAAAATAATAAAAGTAAACAAAAGAACATTTGAAAATTAGCATTTTATTCTTTTTTTCCCCTAATTTATTTATTTAATTTATTTATTTTTGGCTGTGTTGGGTCTTCATCGCAGTGCACGGACTTGTCATTGCAGTGGCTTCTCTAGTTGCGGAGCATGGGCTCTAGGCACATGAGCTTCAGTAGTTGTGGCTCGCAGGCTCTAGAGCGCAGCCTCAGTAGTTGCGGCGCACGGGCTCAGTTGCTCCGCGGCTTGTGGGATCTTCCCGGACCAGGGCTCGAACCCGTGTCCCCTGCATTGGCAGGCGGATTCTCAACCTCTGCGCCACCAGGGAAGCCCCTGAAAATTAGCATTTTAGAAAGAATCTCCAGATGAAAAGTGGGAAATGTATCGAAGGACATCAAGATTAGAAGCAGGGATATAGTTGAGAGCTGCTGAAATAATTTAATAAGCTTAAACTACTGTGCTGGCAATGCTGAAATAGAGAAGTGGATAGATTTGAGGTACACTTAGCAGGCAGAACCTATAGGACTTCAGTGGGTGTGAAAATGAGAGAATAAAGGATGAGTCCTGGAGCACTGGGTGGATGCTGATGCCAATTACGGGGGGGCGGGGGCGGTGGCTGTTGAGAGATGGTAAGTTCAGTGTTAGACACTGTGCGTTTGAAGTGTCTGAGGGGTGTCCAAGAAATATATGTTGCTGCAGCTACTGGCTGAGAGACAGGTTGGAGATAAAGAGGTCTTCTTTGTCTGTGAAATAAGGGAAAATGTGAGAATAAAAAAGATTATTCTTATATTGCCAGTCAAAATTAAAGATGGATACCATGATTTATGATAATATCCGGGCTGAGTAATTTTTTTTTCTAGCTTTGCCCAGACCCAGAGTGTAGATGTATAGAAGGCAGGCAACTGTAATTAGAATTAGCATTTTGCCAGGTGGCTACCACAGCTGAAAAACAGGGAATGGGAATGAAGATGAGGATAATTGCATGAGAGTGGACAAAATGAACTAAAATGGGAGAAGGTAGATCAGTCAAGGGACTCAGGATTTCCATAAAGTCAAATAAGAGATTTAGAGTGAATTGAATTGGAGAGTATAATTAGAACTGAAAATTTCAGACTTGATGAAAAGTTCAGGGTGAGCCCAGGAGGCCGAGGGGGCTAAAGTGGAATGGATGTATATGCCAACAAATATGATGTAAAGGAAAAGCATTTTATATCTATCTTTAGTATAATTTATACTAAATTAAAAAGCAAACTCCTAAATAAGACAAGGATGCCCACTTTTACTACTTTTATTCAACAGAGTACTAGAAGGTCTAGTCAGAGCAGTTAGGCAAGAAAATGAAATAAAAGGCATCCAAGTTGGAAAGGAAGAAGTAAAATTATCTCTGTTCAGAGACAACATATCTTGTCTTGTTATATGTAGAAAACCCTTAAGATTCCACAAAAAGCTGTTAGAATAAGCGAATTCAGCAAAGTTGCAGGATAAAAAATCAACACACAAAAATCACCGGCATTTCTAAACACTAACAATGAATAATCAAAAAAAGAAATTTAGAAAATAGTTTCATTTACAATAGTGTCAAAAAAGAATAAAATACTCAGGAACTAAACCAAGGAGGCAAACGTACTGTACACTGAAAATTATAAAACAATGCTGAAAGAAATTAGAGACACAAAAAAAGGCCATTCCATGGACTGGAAGACTTACCATTGTTAAGATGACAATACAGGTATCTCTTGCTTTTCAAAAGCCTGCTTTATGCCACTTCACTTTTACTAAAGACCTACATTAATACCTGTTTTTGCTAACCGAAAGAAATCTGAAGACGATTTTTGCTTTTACAAAAAAAAGGTGAAAAGCAAAACCAGCGCTCGCCCTTTGTTTTGCAGCTGGCTATTGTAGAGGCAGTGCGCACCCTGAGCACCAACAGCGGCACCACCTAGCTCCTTCTCCAGGAACTACACTGTGCATCTCAGCACGAAGCCACCATAGCTTTTAACTGTGTGAGCATCTGTGCTTTATCTCAGTTTACTTTGTGCATTCGTTAGCAAGATGTGTCCTAAGGTAATTGCTTCTTTGCTTTACATCATTTTGGCTTACAAAAGGTTTTGTAGGAATGCTTCACTTTCAGAGAGCAGGGGAAACCTGTACTCCCCAAATCGATCTATAGATTCAATGCAACCTCCATCAAAACCCCAATGACTTTTTCGTAGAATTAGAAAAATCCATCCTAAAATTCATGTGGAAACTTAAGGGACCCAGAATAGCCAAAGCAATCTTGAAAAAGAAAATCAAGTTGGAAGTCTCACACTTCCTGATTTCAAAAATTACTACAAAGCTACAGTAATCAAACCAGGGTAGTAGTGGCATAAAGACAGACATATAGACCAATGGAATAGAATAGAGATCCCAAACTCTTGCATATATGGTCAAGTGATTTTTGACAAGGGTGTCAGGACCATTCAGTGAAGAAAAGACAGCCTTTCAATAAATGGCGCTGGGAAAACTGAATATCCACGTGCAAAAAAATGAAGCTAGACCCTTACGTTACCTTTTACTCAAAATGGGTCAAAAAACAAAGCTAAAATTATAAAGCTCTTAAAGAAAACCTGGGAAAAAGCTTCATGGCATGGCATTTTGCAATGATTTCTTGGATATGACACCAAAAACATAGGCAACAAAAGGAAAAATACATAAGTTGAACTTCATCAAAATTTTAAACTATTGTGCATCAAAGGACACTATTATCAGCAGAGTGAAATAAAACCCAAAGAATGGGAGAAAATATTTGTAAATCGTGCATCTGATAAGGGGTTGATATCCAGACTATATAAAGACTTCTTACAGCTTAACAACAAAAAAACCCCAAACAACCCAATTAAAGAATGGGCAAAGGACATGAATAGAAATTTCTCCAAAGAAGATACACAAATGGCCAAAACTGATTGTTCAACATTAATAATGTTCAACATCATTAATCATTATGGAAGTGAAATTAAAACCACAATGAGATACCACTTCACACCCACCAGGATGGCTAATATCAGAAATACAGAAAATAACAAGTGTTGGTAAGGATTTGGAGAAACTGGAACAACTGTGCATTGTTGATGGGAAGGTAGAATGGTGCAGCCACTGTGGAAATGGTATGATGATTCTTCAAAACATTAAACAAAGAATTACCATATGATCCAGCAATTCCACTTCTGGGTATATACTCAAAAGAAGTGAAAGCAAGGATTCAAACAGACATTTGTTACCCATATTCATAGAAGTATTAATCACAACAGCCAAAAGATGAAAGTCACCTAAGTGTCTGCAGATGGATATCTGGATAAACAAAATATGGTATATACATACAATGCAACATTATTTAGTTTTAAAAAGGAAAGAAATTCTGACACATGCTACATCAGGGATGAACCTTGAAGACATTATGCTAAGCGAAATAAGCCAGTCACAAAAGGACAAATATTGTATGATTCTACTTATATGAGCTATCTAGAGTAGTCAAATTCACGAAGAGAGAAAGCAGAATGGTGGCTGCCAGGGGCTGAAGGGGTGGGGTGGGGAATGGGGAGCTAGTTACAAGTACAGAGTTTCAATTGGAGAAGATGAAAAGGTTCTAGAGATGAATGGTGGGGATGGTTGAACACCGTAAAAGTAGTTAATGCCACAGAACTGTACACTTAAAATGGTTAAAGTGGTAAATTTTATGTTATATATATTTTGCCACAGTCAAAAAAAAAAAGAGAAAAAGAAAGAAAACTTCGGGGTAAATCTTAATGACCTTGGATTTGGCAAAGGTTTCTTAGGTATGATGCCAAAAGCACAACCAACAAAAGGAAATAGATACACTGGACTTCATCAAAATTAAAAACTTTACATGCACCAAAGGACACTATTAAGAAAGCGAAAAGACAGCCCACGAAAAGGGAGAAGATATCTGCAAATCATACATCTGATAATGGTCTAATGTCCAGAATATATATAAAGAATTTTTAGATCTTAAATATAAAAGACAACTCAGTTTAAAAAGGGGTGAAACACTTAAATAGACATTTTTCCAAAGAAGACATACAAACTGTCAAGTACATGAAAAGATACTCAACTTCATTAGTCATTAGGGAAATGCAAATCCATGCATACCATGATGAGATATCACTTCATGCCCACTAGAATAGCTAATGAACAGAAAAATAATGTGTATTGGCAAAGAAGTGGAAAAAGTGGAACACTCTTGAATTGCTGGTGGGAATGTAAAATGGTGTAGCTCCTGTGGAAAAGTTTGGAGGTTCCTCAAAAAGTTAAACATCAAATTACCATATAACTTAAATTCTCCTCCTAGGTACAGAACCAAAAGAACTGAAAACAAGTGTTTAAACAGAAACATGTACACAAATTGTTCACCACAATTATTCACAACTGCCAAAGGGTGGAAACAACCCAACTGCTCATCAACTGATGAACTGATAAAATGTGGTCTATCCACACAACGGAATATTATTTAGCCACAAAAAGGAATGAAGTACTGTTACATGTTACAACATGGATAATCCTTGAAAATATGCCAAGAGAAAGAAGCCAGAAACAAAGGCCATATATTTTATGACTCCATTTACATGAACTATCTAGAAGAGGCAAATCCACTGAGAAAGCAGATTAGTTGTTGCTAAGTTCTGGAGCGAGGGGGAAATAGGGAGTGACCACTTAATGGGTACAAAGCGTACTTCCAGGGTGATGAAAATGCTGCAGGGCAAGACAGCAGTGATGGTTGCACATTGTTAAATGCCACTTGACTGTACACTTTAAAATTGTTAATATGGTAAATTTTATTTTATGTGGATTTTACCCCAATTTTTTTAAAAAAGCTCCCTTTCCATCACTCTTACCTGACAGTTAATATCAGCTCTATGTTGTAGCAGGACTGTGACTAGTTCCTTATGTCCTCGATCACAAGCCCAATGGAGTAGAGCTCTGCCCTAAAAACACAGAAAAAGATAAATGAATTTGTTAATCCAGTTGTGGGACCATATAAAAGATATAAGGTCTGAAGAAAGAGTAATATGCAAAAATGTAGATTAATTATTCTAAGAATGACTGATATAACATGTTCTATGGGAAAAGCAGCAGACTGGAAATCAGTAGAAAGTCCTGAGTTCTACTTCTGGAATCTGTTCTGTACTAGCCCAGTGACTTTCTTCAGCCTGCACAGTTTCCTCACCCACAGCGTGGGGGTAACACTAACAACAATAATACCAATAACATTTGTTGAATGAATGAGTTACAAAATAATGCTTTGTAACTTTTAAAGTACTCTATAAAGGTAAGAGAGAGTTTTAAATTATGTCCACTTCTGGTGAAAAAAATCCTATGGATAAAAAAAAAAGTACTTAAACCTAGGTAGAGATCATAATCTAAATGCAGTTTATCTAAATTTACTCAAGTTTATTCCTTAAAATGTAAGAATATTTAATCACTTTGAAACTAAGCATTTCCCCTTCACATCCCAAATTTACACCCTGAAATATCCCCAAAACATTAGTAAAGTCTGCTAGTGTTTGTCTTCAAATGCTGACTGTGAAAGCCACTTGTAAAACAGAATAGATATCAACTGTCAGGAGACAAAAGTACTAAATATGAAACATTAATTTTAACTGTTGTCTACCAAGGATGAAGGGTTACTCTCAATGTGTTAATTCTTTTCTCCACTGTCAGACATCTTGGTTTAGTTAATGAAAGGAGCCTGCTGAGTCCAAAGAATAAACAAAACCCCCAAAGCTAAGGGCTTTTCTGAAGAAATGAGTGATGTATGGCTTAACACTACTTTTTTCAGGGTGGTAGTGATGTCATTTTTTAAAGAATGGAATGTTTTCCCAAATTAAGTTGAAATCCCTGCTTTATGTCATTTTAGAAAAGATTTAAGCAGATATAAGCTGGGACAAAGATGACTTTAAAGTAAAAAGCACCTTTCAAGAAAGCTTTTCTAAACTCACACACTTCACCTTACAGACTCTCTTCACATACCTATTAGTTCAACTAATCAAACCAGGAACTATTCTTGAAACAAACAAAAAAAGTAAGACAACTTCTTCCTTACAAATTGTCCTTTTCTTTTTCTTTCATTTGCTCATTTCATTTGCTCATCTAGTTAATGATATCTGTTTTGCAACAGGCTTACACAAAATCCAAAGAGGAAGGGAAGCAAAAAATTTTAAAACGTGGGCAAATCATTCAGTTTATTTTAACAGCAAAACTACTTTGCTCAGAGCCCACTAAAAATTTTTTAAATGGAGACAACTCTAAAAGCCAAGTAAAAAATGTATTGTGGAGTAGAGAATAGAGTTGCCTATGTTAAATGTTCTCCAGCTCTAATGTGTACTGATTTAGTGTTACTAGAGCACTAATTTCAAAACCCTCTATACCAATAAATAGATATTCTAATTAGACTCTCAGAACTAATACCAATGTATAAAATATTTTATAGTTCAATGTAATTGTTTCACAGCTTTTACATTAAAACAATCAGATAAAATGTCAAAGTCTGTATCATTCTTAGTTCTAATTTTAACTGTACATTTTATGGCTATTATGTTAAATTATTAACAAGAATTACTACATAGTTAAAATGATGCCTGATAGACTTACACAGGGCACCTACCAGAAGTACCTAATAGTTAAGTAAGAAAACATAGTATTAATATATCTAGTATTTTTACTACAAGATGTACAGATAATTTCTATTTCTCAACCAGATTCCTGATTTCTCCTTAGGTTTAACCCAATAGGGTTACATCGACTAATGCTAAATTATAAATCCTTAGCTGTTTTGGTGGGAAAGCAGACAAGCAACGCATTTTACTGTTAATGGGGAGTTATATTTTAAATTTCCCATATGTGGTGCCAAAATTTTACTTTAGATGAAACACCTATGACTGGACCTCAGTAGTGATTTTCACTTTGGATATATTTTCTAGAAGGGTGGCACTTGTACAGCAATGTTTTAAGGAGGATGATGTGCTCTCAGACATTTACACTATGCTTTTTAACAGGTTTTCTGACCTGCAATGTAATTAATTTTTGTAACACATTATTTTAATGGTACACTAATTAACCTTGAATTAGAATGAATTCTCTGATAATGACTTTCTGCAGAAGGGCTGAAGATAGCTACATTAAGACCACCTAATGATTAATATTTTTATGCAGCATTAAGAAGTTCAAAAACAAGAGCAAGATTAAACATACTTGTAAATAAGCATAGATAAAGTAAATCAAGCTTTGGAATTTTTGCCTTCAAATATCCTGCATTTAAATGAACAAAGATCAGCACAACCAGGTATCTGAATGTGATAACTCTTTACTTCTTCAAATTGTAGAGTTCCTGTAAACATACTCAAATTTAAGATTATTAGTTCAAGTAATAAATAACCAGTAATTTGCAGAGAAGATATCTGCATATCTATCTACAGATAGCTATCTATAGATATCTGCATATCTATCTATCTATCCTCATAAACCCTACTGATAAAATCAGTAAATAAACACCTGTGGTTTCTTTCTCTTTGTTAACCATAAACATATATGGACCAATATAATGCAATTATTAAATTTACTAAATTAGTTTAGTTACAGGATTCCATAATTTCTCTTCCAGAAGGAAAACCATCAATTAGGTGCACATTAAATTTATATTTGCTTAAAGATTTTATACAAACTTATGAGATATTTTACCTATTTTTAGATATAACTGTTTTATCTTCTATGAATGATATAATCTCTTACAAATTTTCAAGTTAAATTTATTTTTACTGTTACCACAAAAGCTGACAATTGTTTGTCTGCTTCTAGTTTTAATAACTTCTGAAAGAATATTGCAGAACTATTTGGGACATTTGTGGGGAAAGCCATTATTAAAAGGAATCTTTGTTAGGTCAGCAGAAGACCACAAGCACTGTTTGGAGAGCTCTGGATAAATTCTGGAATTCAAATACAGTAAAACACAGCGGGGAAGAAAGAGTTCCCATCTGTTAACCAAGGGTGCAAATACTGTCTTACCTCAGACAGATGAATGACTCTAAAGTGCTTGGAAAGTGCAGGGTGGCAGCTAACCTATTAAGTGGTATTACTTTCATAACTTCTGGAAAATACAGAGTGAGTCTTAATATTTTATATGCTTCTTTGATATCCTTAGTTACTTGTTCTTAAACCACGTAGAATTTTTAAAAATTAGATTTTCTCCTGGATATCACAAATTAAATGAAAAGAGATGGTATTATAAAATGACTCGATGTTCTTAGGGTATTTTGAGAACAGATACAAACAAAGCATGTACACCATACATACAGTAGACAAAAACATGGCAAAGTTGGTATGTTTAAATTTGTTAAGAGTTGCCATTCTATCAAAGATGGTATGGTATAGTACTGTCTAATTACTAAGTGAAATACTGCAAATAGGTCGACTTGAATTTCTCTCTCCAAAAAATTGGGTTTCAATTTACAATTGATTGACTTCAGCTACCAATAATCTGTAGTGTCTCTGCCTCCTCTCTCCTATCCCTATCTTCTACCCTTTACTGCTGCCACTGTAGCAGCTGGCTACAGTGAGAACTCCCCCACCTGCAACCACCAGAAACTACACAAAGCCTCCTACTTCCACCCACCTCTCATTAGTGAACCAACAATGTTCTTTCAAAAACTCAGACAGCAGTAGGATTGGGTGGCAGTTTATGATCTCAAGATGTGGCTAGCATGGAAGCTAATACACATTTAAAATAAGTGAATACTTGATCTCCTTCACTGGCTAAGATCTAAGGTAAAAGGAAATGGTATTGGAATCAGGGAATTCAGAAGGATTTTAAATACACTACTTTAGAAACTCCCTTTATAAGCATTTACTAAGCCATCATGTTAGTAACTAAAGGGTTAAGGAGTAGGCAAGGGAGATATTACTTCATCCTGTATAAAATAATAAGTAATCCAGTGATAATAATAAGGTAACCAGGTGTCCATCAGAAGATAATGGATAAATACACTACGATGGGGCTTCCCTGGTGGCGCAGCGGTTGAGAGTCCGCCTGCCGATGCAGGGGACGCGGGTTCGTGCCCCGGTCCTGGAAGATCCCACATGCCGCAGAGCGGCTGGGCCCATGAGCCATGGCCGCTGAGCCTGCATGTCCGGAGCCTGTGCTCCGCAACGGGAGAGGCCACAACAGTG